CTATCTATCTATCTATCTATCTATCTATCTATCTATCTATCTATCTACCTATCTATCTATCATCCACCTTCTTATGTATCTATCACAGATGATAATCTATTTATATATGTACATACATAAGTAAATGTTACATATTTTATTATCTATAACAAAAGAGAGACCTTCAAGTTAGCCTACTTTTTGTAGCACACAAACAACAGTTGCTAAGGTTAGATGTTAACCTGAGTCTTCTACTTCATTGGGCTTTGACTTGAAAATGCCCACAGTCACTTGATAGCATATTATCACACTGGTATTCTGACTGAAAGCCACTTCCCCAGAATATTAACCATCTACTCTTCTCTTGTTACATTTTTTCATCCAGGATAAACACTAATTAATTATTAACACATGTTATCATACCTATAAAAGTTTTTATAGCAGCATGCTGTTTATTTCATCCTTGGCCTTACAGGCCTCCAAAGCTTAAGCTTTGGGAGGAATAGACAGAGAGATGGGGGATGTCACTTGAACTCAAAGAAGAGTGTGACGAAGTTATTAATAAAGAGATTAATTTGCATCTATACTTAAATATTATTTCAAAGGTCCATTTTCCGTGTTTTAGTAAGTTACTTTGTTTTATTTTATAAGATTACCAGTTTTCTTCTTCATGCCAGTTTTCCATAGTACTGTACTTCTCAGATTCATATGAACTTACAGTTCACTGGACAGCATTTTGTCAATGCTCTACAGTGTTGGCTTGGTGGGATATTTTTTGCACATGTGTGCTATGTGAAAATTTCAATTAAAAAACTATTCTTAAAATACAACTCATCTTCTGTAGATCCTTACAATTAAGCAAGGTAGCTATTGACAGACCAAGAAGAATTTAAAATATAGATAATTGGGGGTTTCGTCTTGATCTGACAATGGACTAAGTGACTGACTAAACAGCTGAATTTCATTTAAACTTTCTGTACCTGATCTCAAACTTTCAATGATCTCTTAATGTATCTATCTTCTCTCTCATCTCTCAAACACTTTAACTTTGAAGATTCTATTTTATAATCCAAATAGAGAAACCCTTTACATTTAAGTTGCCCTGAGCATAATTCCATAAACAAAAGGGCCCAAGATGCCTGTCTCATAGGTTCCTGGCTCTATCATCAATACTGTGCAACTTCTTCTGTTATTCCAGTTGTTTCTTTCAAATACGTGCACAATCACAAATTTGGATTTTCTGATTTGAGGGTGTTTCTCACACTATTGCCTCATTGGGAAAGGAATTCAGTATTTGCCATATCTTGCTTCTTTTGGTTTCATAGCACACTTCTAAGCCTGAACTTTTCATTAGGTCACAGATAAGACAAACTGGAGCAACAATACTAGACATGCAGTGGCTTGTAGGATTGTCTTTAAATCTCCCGAAGGGTTTGAAACTGGAGAATTTGTTTTCAGTAGGGAATTTGGTTAAACCAGAATGATAGCTGTCGAAAAATTCCTGTTGGTTTCTAATGTAAGCCAAATAATACATTCGATCTCCAGCTGCTTAAGTTATGAGGTCAAAGTGAACATAAATAAATTGGCGTCTTCAGTCCATCATATCCAGTCATTTATCAGTTTCCTTAACTGTTACTTTTATATTTTTGAGATTGCAAAATAATTTTATTTCTCCCATCCATTTCATACCCCAAACCTTTCTGTATATCCTTTCTTACTCTATTTCAAATTTACAACTTCTTTCCTCATTGTTGGTATCTATGTTTGTGTATACATATATATTCCCAAAAACATAAACACTACCTGCTTAGCCTTTATAATCTTACTTGTGTGTGTGTTTTCCAGGCTGACCATTGGGACAAACAATTGGCATGCTTTTCCCTGGGGAAGATAATTTCTCCTACACTCAGCATTTTCTGGATGCCTGCAATCCTTTGTCTAGGGTTGAGGCCTTGGGGGCTTTTCCCATCCACTTTGAAGGAGTGTTCACTGAATGTCCTTTTACAAGTCTATTTAAACAGAGAATTCAATTCTACAGTCACTTTGTGATGTTCATGCATACAGGTCATTCATATTTTACAGTGGAGAATCTGGAGCCCAGAGAACAATTCTCCAAAATAGTGTTCCTAGGAGAAGCCAGGAGTCACATCTGACATGCTAAGGTTGACTTGTCTGGGAATCCAGCTTTCAGCTACTCAGTGCACTTCCTATTATGGTAACTGCATGTACAGATAGTCAAAAGAAGTAAAAAAAAATTACTTTCTTCTGCATAAACAAAACCAAGGTACTTCCTGATGAAGCTCTGAAACTATAGAATCTGGTCTCATTTCAAGGAAAACAGTAACTATTTGGACATAGTATAAAGTTATTTGCCAAGAGTCAGGATAAAAACACTTCATACCTGTGGGCCATGCGCATTGATTCTATGAAAGAATTTTCCATTTTTATTTAAGATGTATACACAGTGATGTGAAATTTCTAATTCTCCTTTAGAGCTCTTGAAGCTTCCTATTCATTCCTAGTCATTCTGTTTCTTATGACTGCACTTTATTAGCAAATAAAATGTATAATAAAATTCTTAAGTGAGGCAGCACAACTGCAGGTCAAATAGTGAATCTTCCTTTACTTACTGCCCAAAGAAGCAGGGTAGAAACAAAGAACAGCACAGCACACAGCCAAAACGGAGCTTAAGCTCCTAGTGGATGCATTTTGAAACAAAAATAAAGAAAGTCACTCACTTTAACGCAAGAATTAAATAAACATTTTCATATTCTGTTTACTCACACCTTATGATGCTTGACTAATGTGAACAGGAAATTAAGCCTCCATATTTAAATTATACACCTTTGATTTCTTATTTCTTTTGTCCTTTTATCTCCCCAGATCATATGTTAGTCAAGGGTTAAAGTCAGGAGTGAAAAGAAGCAATTTCAGAAGCAGGGGCATTGCAAAGGAAACAGGGACAGCGTTCTGGTTGTGATTAAACTCCTGGAGGGCACCCTCACAGAGAGTACATCCATGCTTCCTTGCATAGTCTCTCCGGTCTCCACACCTTTTATTTGGTTTCTGACAACTACTCCATTATGCCCAGTTCTTGGTTCTCTAATACCTAAAGGATGGAAAATATTAGGACCCAAAGGAGTGGCCTGGAAAGAAACAGCACAGAGCTTCGGAAGGAAGAGCACTGGGCAGGCTCCCTGCTCCGGCACCCTAGCAGGTTCTAGGAAGTATTTACTGGAAAACATTTCCTCGAGTAGATTCTCTCTCCTCACATTCCATTCTGTTCTCATCTATGCTTTGTCAGCATTTGTTTATTTATTTTAGTTCTAGCTACAAGTGGATTCCAGCCACTGTCAATTCTGCTTTTGTCCGTTTTAAGTCCTTATTTATTTCAAACCTGTTAGACTGATAAAGGAGCTAAGGATTTGTACTCATAGATACTTATAGTCCTATCTCCCTTTTGTAGCAAATATGTAGAAGGGGGGAAATCTGGCTTTTTGCAATTCCAGCCACAGGACTTGTGTTCCCAGCAAACAACACAACATACAGCCTTGGGTCGGAAACTCCCAGAATTACTGAGGGAAGAAGAGGGGTTTTCCAGTGATCTGTCCTTTAGGGTTTAAAAGCGCATCCTCGGGAGCGACTCTTTCATTCTGCATGAAGTTGTGAGCTACCAGAGCCCAGCGACTCCCTGAACATAGGCATCCTGTGAGTAACTTTGCGCAGCCAGGAAACGGGTAAGGGCTGCTAGGGCATGTCGCTGACTAGGGATAGAGTGTGACTGTTAGCCACTGACTAGTGAGACCTGATGCAGGCGGCCACCGCGGGGCGACTCCTGCACTAGGTCTCTGGGTCCGGGAATCGAAAGCCGGCGTCAGGAAGGGCTCCTCCCCGCCTGCCCCGGGCTGTACGCCCAGGTGCCAATGTCTCTGGGCCACCGAGCTCAGCGCGGGTAGTAGTTGACCATGGGAGAGGCCGTGCTCCCAGCCGGTCCAAAGTGCAAGGCCGGGCTAGTCCCGGACGTGCGGGGGCGGGTTGCGCGTCCCGGAGTGTCCCAGAGTCCCCGGCGCGCTAGGCGCACCTACGTGCGCACCGGAGAGCAGCGCTTACCATGGAACATGGTCTGCGGGAGGTGGGTGTAGTCATGATGACTGGGACTGCAGCAGGAGCGAGCTCTCAACCCCCATAATCACGCCCTGGACCCCGGTCATCCGCCGAGTGGCCGCACGCCGGTACTGGGCAGGACAGTCTCGGCAGCTGGCTCCTCTCACCCACGCCGCGCCTAGTCCATCCATCCCAGGAGAGGCCGCATGCATCACCCGCTGGCCAGGCGCTCTGACTTTGCCATAACTTCCGTAGGCTCTGCCGGCAGAGTAGGCAGGGTACTTTCAGTTTCTACTTTGCGCTGGGTCTTCAGGTTCAATGTTTGGGTTTTATACCCTTAGCGTCTTCCCCATGCACCTGGACCAGGATCAGTGATCGCTGCAAATTTCGAAAGTACCTCAGGAGAAGCCAGCTGGCCTTCTGGATCAGAGAGATTCGGCTAAAAGGCTTTCCAAATGACTTCTAACCGCTTTGGCAAGCCTGGGAGACTGGGAGCTAAAAACACCGGTTGATAATATGTCCACAGAAGCCGCAAATGTGCAGCAGTGTGAAGGCTCGCTATTGCAAGTCAGTTCCACTGAGGAGGCGTCGCTGCTTCTGCCGCTGATGTGGCGGACGTTGCCAAGTCATCTTAAAAAAAAAAAAAAAAAAAAAAAAGGAAGTGAAGAACGATTAAGAGGGTCACGCCCTCTGCCCCTCCAAGCTCTCTAACTAGTTTCTTTCCTTTTTGTCCTCTGTGCAATGCACCTGCTCAGGTGGGACTTTAAGGAAAAATAATTCTTGTGAGCTCACCTAGTATAGTTGGTCAGTGGTATTTTAGAAAATTAAAATTCGTTAGGTAGAGGACGTAGAAGTTACTCAGTAATTGCTAACTAACCCTCACAGGTGCATTTACCTGACATGACTAATAAACTATCTATCTTGAATGCTTTATTGAAAAATTTTTTTTTTGTAGTAGGTGTGAGTCTCTAAGGTGATTTCTAATTTACTGCTGTTTCTCATAAGCAGCAGAGACCTTGCTCAGGTGAAGGTGGATAGAGCAAACCAACAGGAGGAAAGATCAGAGATCTCGCTGATGGTTCCCATTTATCTAGCATCTGCTCTATGCCAGTACTGTGCTGAGTATTTTACATATGCTATGGCATCCGAAGCTTTCTGTGAGGCATACCACTTTTTTATATGCAGTTCAAAGACACATGTGGGAACAGAGACTTTCTTCAACAGAGCTAAGTTAGCATAGTTGGCCTAATTAGGACAAAATCCTTCTGCAGGCTGGCTTCAAAGACTCTGCTTCCATCATCCCCTGTGTAAGAAAAGTCCATGAAACCTGCAGTGTAGACACTAGGATATTTAGAAGGAAGGTGACTTTGGAGTGGTGGGTATGCCCTTAAGTCTCTAAGGAGTAGTGGGAAGGTTTCTGGAGTTTGTGGTTCCTAACTGACATCTGAACAAGATCAGAGTCGTAGCTGGTTCAGAGAGAGCTTCAAACTCTCTTGTGGTGTAACAGTGAAAAGAATCACAGGGGAAGGAGTGAGAAGGGACCGGCTCTGTGCTAGAGTGTGAAACGAAGAGGTTCAAACCGGGCAATTGGCTGTGCATTCTGCTGGTACTCTTATCGTTCACATTCGATCTGTAAACTCATGTAGTTAGTGCTCTTCCCAAATAAATGTTACCAGGTAACTACAGAGGCTGATTAAAGAGGTTTCCACAGTTTCTCTGGCCTACAACTGCCCTTTCATCCTTCTCATAGCATTGGGGAATTTGAGTGCATATATAATTTTTATTAACCTAATATTTTTATTGATTATTTAGAAATTTCACATAATACACCCTGATCACTCTTCCTTGTCGCTGCGCCCTGTTTCTGCGTTCCTTCATGAGTTGGGCCCTGTTCTCTTGGGACCTGACTCATCTTCACTGCAGCCACTTGCCTTTCTCATGTTCTCCAGACAGCTCCACTCCACTGATGTCGTTTACCTGGGATATGACTAGAATCCAATATTGCTATGTGACAAGCACTATGCCGGTGAGAAAATGCTTCAAGGAAGGACAATAAAGATGTCCACAAAAGCAGGCAGAGGAAGCAAGGAAAACAGGGGAGAGGTGGCAAATGAAATCAGGAAACCAGGCCGAGTGGGAAAACCCACACACTTCCAAAATTGTCACCGAAACTTAGGAAGTAGAAAAAGAAGAGGTTGTAGTGACTGTTAAAGATTAATTCCATAAACATGCCTAGGTCTGTGATAAAAATACGAAACTCCCTGGCCCTGGGGTAGAAACTGTAACAAGCTGTTCTTGTTCTGAGCTTTCCCTTCTCCCTTTATGCTGTTCAGCTTTTGGGGTTAGAGTCAAAGAATGTCTATCAACAATGAACCAAAGGGGAAATCGTTTTCCTTCCTGGTGCAGTCACCATAAAAACGGACAGAACGATACTGGTACGTAGGCAAATCCTGAGGAGAAGGAGGGGAAAACAGAGGGCCAGGAGAGGAGAATCACTTTTTTTATAGGACTTTGTTTGTTCTTAAGTGGTAAGAGTGTCTTCTGAAGAAAATATTTCAAAAGCATTTGGAATTTTAAAGGTTATTTTTAAATGAACACTATTGAACCATATCGTCTTATAGGAGGATTCTAAGAAAATTAGTGTCATTCTGAAAGAATCAATACAGATTCCTAAATCAGTTGTTTGCTTTACAGTATACACTGAACATATTGCTAGACAAGGATAAGTGTTTTATGAAGTTTTAGAATGTTGATGGTGGAATAAGTGAAGTAGGAAGCCAGGCCTGGTGGTGCAGACCTGTAATCCCAGCTACTCAAGAGTCGAAGGCAGGAGAAGTAAATTTTCAGTTCCTGCTTTGTAAAATTAATGAGAGTATGTCCTTAAAAATAACAGAGTAAAAAGAGGACTGGGGGTATAGCTACAATATTGAGAGTTTGTTTAATTTGCAGGAACCCCTAGGTTCCATCCCCAATATCATCAAGAAGAAGGAGGAGGAGGAGAAGAAGAAAAAAAATAAGACAGTAATAAAAAATGATTAACACTGAGAAATAGGAAATGCTAAAATAAATGATAGGATGCTGACTTAAGAGAGAAAATTATTAAGGTTAGCGAATATCTTTTTAACGTTTACACTTTACAATCATTAATCAAATAGTCAATTATTAATCTCTCTGTTGTCCAGGCCTGCCTTGAACGGGCACTCTCTATTTAAGCCTCCTGACTATTGAGATTCCATGCATATACCAACATCCACAATGAAAATTTACTTTTTTGACTAATTATCTATACTCATTTTTCCTGACCAAATAGGATATCTATATCTATCTATCTTATCTAGCTATCTTATCTATCTATCTATCTATCTATCTATCTATCTATCTATCTATCTAATCTATCTTATCTATCTATCTAATCTATCTATCTATCTATCTATCTATCTATCTATCTATCTATCTATCTACCCACCCACCTACCTATCTACATAACTGTGCTCTCTGAGTTCTAAACTCTTATGTTGTTCAAGGGCATTTCCTCAAGTTTCTATGACTTAATATTTGAGGCAAAAAGATTAAAATAGTAAATATTTCAAACACACACAGATGCATAGCTTCTGGGACCTATGGCTTTTTTGGTTGTTGCTTGTTTGTTTGTTTGCTTGCTTGCTTTTTATGTGTAGCTTTGGTGCCTATCTTGGAACTAGGTCTTGGAGATCAGGCTGGCCTCAAACTCAGTGAAATCTACAGGTCTCTTTTGCTTCCTGATTGATGGGATTAAAGGCGTGAATCATCACTGCTTGAAGGGGACCTATGTTTTGAGAGATCCATTCTTCGTCTACTGTTATGGCCATAGATAATTTAAACTATATTTGGACAATGAGATTCTTTACTTTTTCTTGAGCTTCATGAATTTAGAGGCTGAGTTGACAATGCATGCTCAGTGAATAGTAATGTATGTCTTTAAAGTGGCTTGATATGGAAAAAGAAATGATGTCAAATGTGTCATTTAATAACTCAGTGTGTTATGAGAAAGAAAAAGTGAGACACTATTTTAACCAGGGAGTAAAAGTAGTCTAAGACCATTTTATTGTGAAATTAGTGTATAAGAGTGTTAATCCACCCTTTCAAGAAGAAACCTGCAATAATTTCCTGACCTATAATTTTAAATCAGATAGGAGATTTATGTATTTGCACGGAATGAATTTTGGACATTAGTAAATGGTAATTGAGCATCTATTTATGTGTCATAAATGCTTGTTACATTCCTGAATAAATCATAAATTAACAATGCTACTACATATAGATTTGATAATATTCAGTTTGAAATTTCTAATTATACTCATAACCAGGACATATTTGTTCTTTACATCATTTGTGAGATTCAGCTAATTTTGTCAGATTTTACCAATAGCACAAAAGGAGCTGAAAACTGTGTTTTCTAAAACTCTGTAAAAATATCCCATGAAACTATTAATTTTTTGGAAGGCATACTGGAGTTCGAGAATAAACATATTTAGTTAAATGGAATGAAGTCCAAGGATAGGGCCAAAGACTCTCTGCTTTGGCCACTACAAGACTGAAAGTGATTTTTTTTCTGAAGGTTCAGTTAGAAATGAGGAACTCTGCTATTGAGAAGTAAATGTAACATTTCAGGGATTGTTAGAGCTATGGGAACAAAACGAAGTTCATGAGTGTAGATGCTAAAACACTGAAGTCATAACATGTGTGGGGAAAGACCTTGTACCACAGTCCCTGCCGAGTCAGTGCGGGAACAAAATGTGTGCCCACCAGCAAAGCCAACACAATGGCGGCAACGTAGGAAAGTCAGAACTTCATAAAACAAAGGAGGATGCATTTTCAAAATAGTAATAAGTATCTCCCAAATCCACCGAGTGTGAGTAAGAGGGTGACTGGAGCACATGTCCCCTTGTTCTGCCTCGTCCTGAAGACAACCACACACATGGAGCAGTGCAGGTCTACCTAGAGGGCATGGAAGTGAGGGAATAGAGTGCGGAAATTTTCAGAGATATTTGGAAATGATGAAAACAGTGGCCCCAGATTTCACAAATGAACGCACAGGAAGTTTTCAGTTTTGAGATGTGTCGAAGCATATCTGCATATTAAATGGCAAAATTAGGTTCTGCAATAGTGGGGAGAATGGAATCGAGAAACTAAACTTACCCGATAGTTTTCCTACCCTCCAGATTAATTTCAGCCTTTTATAGTTTTCAAGAACCAGAATCTGCAATGTAACAATAGTTTTACAACGCTTTGAGATATCCCCTGAACACTCAGACACTGTAGGCACAGGTATTGTTTGGTCAAGTATTGCTCATGTTACCTTTTAGAAAGAGCAGCCATAGAGTAAGAAGTTTGCTTTACTTAGTTCGTTTGTGTGCTAATGAATATGTGGTTGAGAGTTGGGGCTTTTACAATATCTGTTGGATCTGGGAAGGGACTATACCTTAAATCTCTGTCTTTATATAAGGCTAGTCAATGAAATTGTACCTAAAAGAATTTTTTCCTTGGACGGAGTTTGAAGAATATAGAAAATGTTTTGCTTAAAAGCACTCAGTGACTTCCTTCTGTGCTGTCCAGCTACTGTTTGAAGATATCGTGCTGTTGTGCACTCTTGGATAGCTGCTACGATCCCAGTCAGTCCAG